CGTCTGTGCCTGCACTCTCTCGGGCAGTAGCTGGCAACTTAAATAGTTCCAATATGGCACCTGGGGTAAGTGCAGACAGGGGGGCAGGAGACATCTCAGTCCTGGTCCAGCTGCATGGGGGAAGGTGGCATGGCCCAGTCCCAACCCAGCAGTGTAGGGCTTGGGAATGTGGCAGCAAGGGACAGTGGTGGTACTAACAGCCACTGCTCCTGCACTGCCAAATTTCCTGACCTGTGGGGAACCTTGTGAGCTGGATGCCATAGATCTGCAGTTTGTCTGCTCTGGGGGGTCAGAGGCTGAGTACCTCTGGATGAAGCACATCTGATCATGTTCCACAAATATATCATGCTTTTGTTGAAACAGAAACACCCATCTCCAGCAGGGGGACAATGTTATCTCTTTCTCTCATGCACTCACACATCCATTCCACCACATATTATTCTACTGGGAGAAGGTGAACAGAGCGTATAATAAGTGTCCCTCCCAAAAGTTACTAATACCACAGTATGGTTATACAGGCCCTGATCCCCCCCCCAGCACCACTGGCCTTTTAACACCTGTGCTATCAAACCAATGTACTGATTCTATCCTTGCCAACCTGCAACAGCTCCTTTTGCCCAATTGGCCAGGAAATTATTGATTTCAAAAAACCCACAACCAATCTCACCGGCTGCAAGTGTTGAACACGTATGCAGAGGCAGGAACTCATGGTGGGTGTGAGTGTGTCAATTGGTGATAAAGTTCATCCTTGAACAAAGAGGGAGACCTAATTCCCAGTTCCGATTCTAGGGCAGGTCTGCTTTCCCTCACCTGTGTTCTTGAATGCACCTGAAATGCAGTGCACTTTTCCTTTTGGGATTATTGGACTCTCCAGGTTTCCAGAACCTGCAGGACAGAAGCCCCAGGGTCAAAAGCTCACCGCTAGGAGGTTCACTGGGGAACAAGCTGGGAGTGATGAGGATGGAGGGTGCAGCCTGAGACTCACCCAGAGCTCCTCCAGCTCCCTCAAGGCTGCTCCCTGAAACGGACTACATCCGCCTGCTCACAGTCCCTCAACTGACCAGCTCCTTCGTGGGGATTTTACTCCAGGAGGGGAAAAGTATTTTTCACTTGCTCACTCACACATTAACATGCCTGCATGCATCCATTACACCATTCACTGGGAGAGTAACGTGGGGAAGGAGGTAACCACTGCCCCTCCCCAGTGCTGCACACTTGTTATACAGGGTACAATCTACCCAACACCACTGCCCTTCCACCTCCTGGGAGGTCAGACTAATGGAGTAACTTTGCTTGCCTGGGATAATTTATTTTGCCCAACTGAGCAGGAAATCCAGGATAAAATGTGAAAGTGAATACTGCTGTCACCAACTGTAGGGGCTGATTAGATAGAAGGAGGCAGCATCCCTGCAGGGTGGGAGCTCTGGGGGTGGTGCTGCCATCTGGGGGAGACCAGAGCAGAATGAAGATGGAGACATAACTCCCCACTTGGATACAGAACAGGCCTGTGTGTGGGGAGGGCCCACCTAGGACTGGGTCCGACCTCCCAGGACCCACCCCCACATCCTTCCCACCTGCCCTCATGCTTCCAGGACATGACATTGCTGGAGAGGTAGTAGCAGCTGGTGTGAAAGGGTTTCCAGCTGCTATTCCAGCTATGGGACAGCTCGTCCAGACCCCCTCTGGGAGGGGAGAGAAGGCAAAGTTCAGTGAGTGCTCATTGCAGTGCAGGTGCAAAACCCCAACTGGAGATGCCTCATAGTCATTCACTTTGTAGCATTTTCCGCTGTTCACCACCATTACCCTGAAGGGCTCGAGTCTTTTTTTAGTCCCAGTCCCTCCCTTTGTGTCCCTAGGGATCCCCCTCTCTCTATCCATCAGCCCTATGTGGTCTCTCTGCATTGATATCCAAGGTGAGAGAGGAGGAGGGGTGGGGTTTCTGAACTGCTGTAGCTCCCTCAACGCAACCCCTCAAAATTTCCCTCCTTGAGCCTCTCCTTCAGATCTCACTGATAGACTGAAGTGTTGAGCTGGGAGAAACTGAAAGAAATCACATCATCCAGGCTAAAGAGCCCTGGGGCTCTTTAGCCTGGAAAAGCGCAGGCTCAGGGGTGATCTGATGGCCACCTACAAATTTATCAGGGGTGACCACCAGTATCTGGGGGAACATTTGTTCACCAGAGCACCCCAAGGGATGACGAGGTTGAATGGTCACAAACTACTTCAAGATCGTTTCAGGCTGGACATAAGGAAGAATTTCTTTACTGTCTGAGCCCCCAAGGTCTGGAACAGCCTGCCACCGGAGGTGGTTCAAGCGCCTTCGTTGAACACCTTCGAGATGAAACTGGATGCTTATCTTGCTGGGATCCTATGACCCCAGCTGACTTCCTGCCCTTTGGTCAGGGGGCTGGACTCGATGATCTTCCGAGGTCCCTTCCAGCCCTAATGTCTATGAAATCTATGAAATCCAAGCCTCTGCACAGAAGTACCTTCCTGATCCCCTCCACCCAAGAAATTCCCTTGATTCATTTCTCTCGGCAATAAACTCACCTGCATTGATTGCTTTTCAGGATCAGATAGGAACCAGAGCCCTCAACAAGGAAGATGCCTCGGCCCATACCCAGACACCTCAGTCTCATTTTCCTAAACAGCTGGGTATTTAGTTTTGGCTTCTACTTGGGACAGCATATCCTTGAACTTCATCTCAGTGTAGGTGATCTCCAATGACATTTAGAAACCAGCCAGTGCCTGCTGGGCTTTCTTTTATTTACAGTCCTATCACAATCACAGCTGACCTTTCAGTTCCCTGGAGCCTGCAGGGACACTTGAAGGGACCACCCAATTCAATAAACACAGGCATACAGGATTGAGAAGAACTAACAAGATACTTTATTTGTGGAGCAGTAGGCAGTCTCTGCAGATTCTTTGTCTGGCTCTAACTAAGCTTAACTGATGGACTATCTCCCAACTTCCAACCTCTGTGGGGACACACACCACAACATTAGCTACCCACTGAGTCCTTCATATCAGGAGTATTAGATACCCCTTCTCTTCTCCCACTTTCCAAATGTTGGGCAGAGTGTTTGCAGCCCTGACACTCCAGTCATTTCGAGGGGAAATTGCCCTGGCTAGCTCTTGCATTTCCGAGCCCAGAGAACCAGCCTGAGCTTTACAGAAACTCAGAGGATAGAAATAGAAACAGGAACCAAACGACTGAGGGGAAGTGACACTGTTCCCTTCCCCCTGAAATATGCCCTCGTCTCCCTAATGATGCATGTGCTTCCTTGTTTCTTCCTTTTGTTCTGTAGGTTTCCACTCTTCTTTATTCCTTCCACCTCTTCTTGTCCCTCAGAGATTATTTTGACTCCACTCTGTCTGTGGTGACTTTACAGCCTCATCCCCCTGCTACTTGTTCTGACCTGCATAGACAGCACATCCCAAGTTGGACTTTATCAACCTTCTCATTATACAGAATTCCTTGCTTCCTTGAAGAAGAGGCTGTTTGCATCCACTGGAGTGTCAGGGCCCCAGACTGGGTGTGTTTGGCAGGGTGACTCCAGATAATGTCATTTACACTGAACATACAGGCCCAGGACTAAGGGAGAAATAACAATTTGAAACTAACTGATGCCCCTCCCTCCAAACCCCAGCAGGAGAGGAAATAGATGCAGGTTAATACATTTAATGTAAGCATGACAGGCAGTGGAGACTGTAGTCAGAAATAAGGAGACTGGTCAGAACTGTGCAGGGAGCAGAAGGCGTTTTGGCTTCTAAGGATGCTGACAGATGTGTAGCTCCCCAGTCTAACTCATGGCACTTCACAGAAACCCACCATGAATTAGACTGACCCTCCCAACCCAACAAACATTTGTTTTGGGGTCAGGAAAATAGGGGAATTGAGCTCCATTTTGGAGCCAGTGCAGCCAAGGAGCTGCATGTCTGCAGCTTCTCTACCCTAACCCTACCATTACCCTCCTCTCCCTGAGCTTGGATGTTGTCTGCATGATGGGAGGCAGGGGAGAAGGGAGGGGAGGGAGCTCACGCTGGGGTTTTCCCAGTCTGTGCTAGAGGTGAGTCAGGTGGATTGGAGCCTCTCTGAGGCAGGGCGCTCCAGTCCACCTGCCCTGCACCCCCAGGGCAGGCTGGGCAAACCCCAGCCCAAACTCTCTCCCCTCCCTTCCTCTCCCTTCATCATGCAGACAGCTCCTGGGGAAGAGATGGGCTGCATCAACCCAGCTTCCCAAGCACACAGAAGTTAATGAAGGTGCTGTGCTTTGGAGTGCTTCCATTTGAACTGTCATATAATGAAGGTTAAATTGTCAGGCAAACAGGGATTTTTAAAGTGCTCTGCAGCTATGCACTTCTGCCTATTCATGACTGTAGAGGGGCATGGCATGGCTGTAGAGCATTTTCAAGGGCCTAATTGTGTGACAGTTTTCTGTCTGTGCCTTAAGTTGCCATTTTAGTGAGCTTAATAGAGTGACACAGGGAATCCATGAAAGGGCTCTGCAGTTTGGAGGAACAACAGGAAACTCCATGCAGATGGGGCCCTGTTTCCAGGCTCTGGCTTAATTCCCCTCAGTGTTTTTCTTTGTTTTGTTTTTTGGTTTTTGTTGTGGTTTTTTTTTTGGGGGGGGGGGTGCTTCACTATTGTTTTTCATGTTCTCTTTGTGTTCCAACTCAGTTCAGTGGATGATTCATTTGGACTGATATAAAGGCCAAAGTTACTAATTTGAAATCCTGGGGAAGTGAGTAGTGTAGGACCAATAACAGACCACCGTGAAGTCTGAGACACGGTATGCAGAAACAGGGTGCAGAGGACCTCCACCCGACTCCCCTGGGAGCTGCTTAAAGCACAGGACAGGTTGCCTCTGGTTTCTAATCCCACATCGGGAGGTCTCTCCTCAAACAAGGGCTACTGCAGTCTCACAAATTCGATGCAAATAAATGGAACACGAGAAGTTATTCCAGTTTCTCCTTCTGTGCGCTTTTGAATCCACCTGGAAGGTAGCGCACTTTTGTTTGGGATCATTGGGCTCTGCAGGCATCCGTAACCTGCAGGAGAGAAGCCCCAATGTCAGGAACACACTGTTAAGGGACCAAGCTGTGAATGATAAGGAAGGAGGAGCATGGAGGTTTGCAGTGTGTGAACCACCCAGAGAGCTCCCCTGGCTCCCACAGGGCTGCTCCTTAATGTAGGCTGAACAAATCTCTCTGCTTATAGTGTCTCAACAGACCTGCTCCTTTTTGGACATTTCACTCCAGCAAGGGAAAGTGGTACACATCTACATGCACACAGACACAAGTACTAAGGGACGAAGGTAACCACTGCCCCTCCCCGGTGATACTCACACTGCAGTCTTGTTATATGGGGTCTGATCCACCCAGCGCCACTGGCCTTCTGTCTCCTGGGCAGTTAGACCAATGAAGTAAGTCCTTCTTTGCCAGTTTGTAAGAGTTTCTTTTACCCAATGAAGCAGGAAATCCTGGATAAAACATGAAAGTGAATACCGGTATCAACAGCTGCAGGGGCTGAGCTGACAGAAGGAGGCAGCTCCCCTGGCAGGGTTGGGGTACTTGGAGGCAGTGCAGGCATCCAGGGAAGACCAGACTGCAATGAAGATGGAGACAGAATTCCCCACTCTGACTCCAGAACAGGTCCATGTTTTGGAAGGTCCCACCCAGGGTTGGCTCTAAATTCCTAGGAGAGCCCCCTCCCTCTTCCCCTCAGCTTTCCTCCTCTCCTCCCACCATGGCCAGTCAATCAAATACAAACAAAATACGTGCTCAGCCTCTGTTGATCACCACCAAGTAGGAGCCCATCCCTGTGCAGTTCTTCTTGCTTTCACCCCAGGGTTTGATATCACTGGACAAGTAGTAGCAGCTGGTGTGAAAGGCCTTCCAGCCCATGGGGCAGCACCTCCAGACCCACTCTAGGAGGTGAGAGTAAGCAAACTGCAGTGAGTGCTCTGGAAACCCGTGCTGGGCTGCCTCTTCTTCATTCACTGTGCAGTGTTTTCCATTGTTCCACACTATTATTCTACAAGGCTGGAATCTCTCCTATGCTTTGACTAGGCTGGTAGATAAGTTATGTTGCAATGGGAAGAGGCTTTGAGTCCAAAAAGGTTGAGAGTCACTGGTCTGAATATACCTCATTTTGAACTTAGGCCCCCACTAAGTCAGTTTCCGCAGCCTCCTGCAATTGTTTGCTATCAGTGAAGACCAAGGTAAAAATCAGGCCCCCAGCCCTGAATGCCGATGCTGGGATTTCTCCCCCCCACCACAAACACCCCTCTTTGCTCCCAGGCTTCCCTGGGGCACAATACCACTCTGGAAAAGACTCAGGCAGTGTCTTGTGAGGTTCATGGCCTTGGTAAAGGAGGGTAACTGGACAACAAAAAGAAATTTAAATAATGATTACAATGTTTTCTTCTATCCTCTCTCTATGTAAGTAACCCAGATTTTTCATCTTCTGGTAAGAAATGTTCCCCCTACCCAACCTTTTGAGCTTCATTATATTCACAATGTCAGCAGCCATCCATAATCTCTCTCCTGGGGAGAAACTATACAGTTATATGCCCGTGAATCTCAGTCAAGAAGGAAAAGTGTGTGACACACATGGATGAAGTCAACTGGTGGGATGAGTGCCACTAGAGGCATACTGAACACAGCAGACTGGGGAAGGGACCAGCAACATAACAGCAGGTCAGGCAAGGGAAGGGGATGGGAGTGGCCCTCATGGAAAGGACCGAGCTGATTTGTGGCCTCCATGGGATTAAGTGGAGACAAGTGTGACCAGGCCACAGTTCTAGTGACAATATTATTGGAAGTGGAAAAAGTTCTAAATCATGAAATAAAAGAATATGTACATTTCTTTTTCTTGTCTTCTGCTTCCTATGTGAGTAACCCATTTTCTTTATTTTCTGCCAAGAAATTGCCCCTCTTTTTTTGGATAGGTTGCCTTACAGGCTGGCTTTGCTCCTTTAAGAGTTCCTCAGCCAGTCCTCTGTATACAAACACAGTTCTTGCACCAAACATAAAAATGAGCAAACAAAACTCTCAACCCAGCTCTAAGACAAGTAAAGTCTCATGGCCCCTTCCTGGGAGCATACTTATGTGGGGTCCAGTCCACCTCCTGGCCAAAACTTTCTTCCCTTAGCTTACCAATGGGGTTATAAATGCTAGTGGGATACTTCCTCCTGAGGTAACCATCCACAGCTAGGCTTCTACTTTCTTCTCTGCTCCCTCTCAAAGTGTCAGATCATCCTTGTACAGGGCTTCAATATGATCACAACATCAGTAACCTTCTCTCACAGAAGGATAGAGCAGGTTAGCTCCCTTGGGTGGAGTGGGATGGAGTGAAAACTGATGATAGCCTAGGGTCCAGTGACCCTATTCTAAATACATTCATTATGAGCAAACAGAGTACAGTCTTAGCCACTCATATCCATGGTCCTTATCTAATGCCATGGTCATACCCATATCTAATTTCACAAAGCTAAGGAAAACATCAGCAATATTGATTGGGAGAAACAATTTAGAAATATGTGAATGAAAGGTGGAGTTGCTCAAGTAGTCATAGAGATCAGAGAAGTAGGGCTGGAAGGGACCTCTGTAAGTCATCCATTTGCAAACCCCTGCAACCAAGCAAACCAAAACTAACTGTCCTCCTCCAGACACTGAGGGGTAATTTTAGCTGTGAGTTACCCTGGTTTCTTAAGCCATGTTGTGGTTCCACAGTCCTTAGCCAATTATCATTTCCATCTGGTCCCCAGCCAGGTACACTATCATCTGCTTACTGTGCGGGCCGCCTCCCGAACCCATCCATGTCGCCATGAGCGGGCCGGGAGCGGTATGCGGACCCATCTTTGCGCATGTGGACTGTGGCCAGCAGCCCGGGCACGCGGGGTCGAAGAGAGACCGGAGGGATCTGGAATTAGGCACGGAAGCGTAATGGTTGATTAAAAGATTGTTTACTTACACCAAAGATGGTCGTGGTGTAGGCTGGACAGTTTCCAGGTTCAGCGCCGCTTAAATCCTCGCTGGAGGACTACGACAATTGGCCCCGGAGTTATTGAAGCTCCGCGGGTTCGACAATTGGCCCCGGAGTTATTGAAGCTCCACAGGTTCGGTAGTTTCGATAGGAAGGGATACGTCTAGGATCGCGCTCGGTGACGGGGAGAGGCTAGAGGCCATTTGGTAATTGGGCCCCTGGAGTTGTTAAGGCTCCGCGGGTTTGGTTCAGTAATTGGCCCTCTATTGCCTTCTTAAGGAAAGAGCTGGGTTCGAAGGAATCAGCAGTGCTTAGAGATCTTCACGCTCTTTCTCCCGAACTCCAGTTGCTTTCTCTCTTTCTCTCTCCAACTTGGGCGGAAACTACCCAAGATCTTTATACGGCTAGCAAGCCAATCGCTAGCCAACAAGTG